TACAGATATAGACAATGAAACTGTTGTGAAAGATGTATACCGCCCAATGGTCGTTTGATGTTATCTGTGCAAAGTTAAAATCCCCAGGGAAAGATTGTATTATTCTAAGAATTCATAGGAAAATATTTTAGAGACAGTTTAAATTGGCCTTATTGTATAGTATAACAAATTCTGCTTCAAAGGTTTCATGAGCGTAGCAATTAGAAACTTTCGAACTGTCATGTGAGTTTAAATACTTCATTCTTTACATTTTCCAAAGTGTGGAGGGAATCAATTTTTACGTTATATTTCTATATAAAGTAAACAACCATTGTTTCAGTCTTCACTGTTGCAGCAAGTGAGCCATTGTTTTGGGTCCTGACCTCAAGGTTAAGAAACTCCATATTCCTTATTCCTTATAGTTTACCTACAGCATAGAATTTCATTGGTAAAAGGATTTGAATGTTATTTTAAACTTTACCTTGACATTTGTACAGTATGACCCCTAATATTATCTAACTTTATGACTTGAAAGTTTTTTATAGTTAGTGATTAAAGTAAAGTGTGAGGCTTTGGAATAAAAAAAAAATTAAAAAAAAATAATAAAAAAAATGTATTCTTGCATCAGTCCCACAAATGATTTTACTATGAGCATAAAAAGCCGTAATAAATTAAGTAGTGCTAGTAAAGAAGACAGGGAATGAAGCCAGTCAGTCATCTTGAAGCTCAGTAGTTTAGCAATTTAAATTCAAATCCCAGTTTATTTACTGTTTTCCAAACCTTTCCATGGGGGCAGCTTCCCTCGCCTTCTCACATTTACCATCCACTGTGTCTTCATTACGTGTTTGATTGGTAGGTGCATGAGTGTTTGTGCACATACACATTTACATGTGTCAGTGTGTCTCTGTTTGTGCAATTGTTTGCTTATGCATGTGTACCCCGAGAGCGTATGTGTGTTTCTGACTGCGGGTGCATTTTATGATGTGTACTTTTTTTCTCTTCCTAGTCCAGGAGTCCCCGTCAGGACCCCTAGGCATCCCTGTGCCTGCCTGCCAAAAACGTCTGCATCTCCTGGACCCCCTCGAGGCAGGGGACAGCCAAATGTCACTTGGACCCTCTACAGAGTGGTGAGAGGAGGACAGGAAGAGGCGAGTGGGAGAGCGGGGGAGGAGACAGGGAATTGAATGAGAGGGGGATGGAAGTTAGAGAGGAGACACGAAGATATATAGAGTGGCAGAAGAGTTTGATTAGATAATAGAGACGCAATGATTACTTGGTGAGTTCTAACATTCAATTCAATTCTCACTTTTTGGCCCAAATCTTATATAGTATACTGCTTATTGAAGTATTTTATTACAGTGTTTTTCATCCTCAACTTTTCCAAAACCTAGTGTTGAATGAGTTTTATATTTACTTGTGCGAGAACAAAAAAGCATCACCACTTGTATAACAAATAAAGATGGCTAAAAGCTGATGTAGACTTGTTAAAATGATGGTCACTTTGGTGCATATTAGTTACTAACTACAAATGTATATATTTTCCAATGCAGCTGACCAGTCTTCATAAGTTCTCAGACTGATTTCCTTCCTCCCAGAAAGCCAGTGGCTTTAGTGTGTTGCACTATTAAACTGCAGGACTCCCAAACATCAAGAAATCTAACGCAGTAAGCTGCAAAATCAATTTTATCCTTTTAATTTATTGCTTTATGCAAATCAAGGTTGATTTAAATGAGTTAACTCTCCATTATCAGGTGTTGGAGCTTCCTTGCACATACTGTACCACTCACTGTGTTTGTGTCACTGTCACATAAAAGGTGCCAAATGTGATGTATTATGTACTAGTCACTGCCTGTTTGAGTAAATCAAACGTTTAAAGCAGCCTCCCAGTCCCTCCTGAAAGTCTTTCTTTCTTTGAACAAACAGCGAACGTCAGCATTAACAGCTGTTTACTTACTAGTTTAGAAGAAATGTGATTTCAGCATCAAACTTCAACTCTCTTTCTTTTATTTATATCACTTATTTGTTTACAGCAGAATGTGGTTTCTACTTTTTCATCCTCTCATGAGGATGACAGACTGGAAGCTACAGTCGCTCACTGTCTCCTCTTGAGGTACAAAGTGGTATACGAGACAGATTTGGGCTGGGACTAAGCCAGCTGGGGTAAAGATCAGCTAACTTCCGTAGATATCTCTGCAACACAATCCATAAATATCTTTGACATCACATCAAAACTGTTATTTATTCAAATTCTGTTGATAATTCAATTGTTAAATATTTGAAACTAACATTCTTAAATAATAGCTCCTTTAAAACAGTACAACAGACATCACTGCTTAACGTTACTGTAGCTCCATCATCTCATGTGGCAGTGTTTGTTTTAATTTGTTTGGTGTTTAAGATAGTTAAACGTTAAATGCAGTGTAAAATTACATGTGGTGAAACATTTCACATCACTACATGTAAAATTACACATCTAAATTACGATCAGTAATGTTTGAGGCATACAGATCCAAAAAAGCCTTTTCACATTGATATAAAGGTATACAGATTTTTCCATTTTCTATCTTTTATTCTTTTCTTCTCTCGCTCACATCCCCCATTCATCCCCGCCAGTCTCTTGCTCCTTGTCCTTGTGTGGGGGACAAATGCAAGACAAGGACTTCTGGCTCCCTCACACACACATATATATATATA